CTGTTTTTATATATAATGCATACAATGCAGTTTTTGTTACTATAGTTCTAGTATAATTTGAAGGCAGGTATTATTATGCCTCTAGCATTGCTTTTTGTGCTTAGAATTGCTTTGGCTGTTCTGTTTTTTATTATTATTATTATTATTCATTCAAATGAATTTCAGGACTTTTTTTTCTCAGTTCTGTGAAGAATGTTATTGGTATTTCAATGGTGTTTTGAATCTGCAGATTGCTTTTGGTGATATGGCCAGTTTAACAATGAATTCTGCCTATCCATGAACATAGGAGGTATTGCCCATCTTCTAGTAACTTCCTCAATTTCTTTCTTCAGTGTTCCATAATTTTCATTGTAGAAGTCTTTCGCCTTCTAATTACATTTATTTCTAGATATTTTGTTTAATTTTTGAGGCTATTATGAATAGGATTGATTTCCTGATTTTTTTTTCTCAGCAGATTTATTATTGGTGTTTGGGAAAGTTACTGGTTTTCATATATTGATTTTGTATCCTGAAGACTAGAGAATTGTGTATATATCTGTTACTGATAGACAGAATTCCTTCTTCTCTGAGCTAGGATTCTAGGGGCAGCACATTGCTGGGAAAGTGAATTGGTGTTGCCATTATTGAAGCACCAGTTTATAAAAAGAACGTTTCAGGGCATAAAGAGGTTGGGTTTGGGAGGTGGGAAAAACCTTGCCTTCCACACTCCATGCTCCATTTGACTGTGCTGACTTGCCACAGAGAACATTCCCCAACTGAAGTGTAGTCCAGCTGCACATAGGAATCTCATCACTGGAAATTTTAAGAAAAGGGCTCAAAGACCTAGATAGAAAAATGTAATCTCATTCATTAGAAGTGAATGTTTACCTTTGTGAAATGTTCTGGGTTTGCTCTTATTCTTCCTTAGTTATACAGATTTTATTATTTTTAATGTTTTTCTTAATAAATCATCTATATTTTCATGTTAGCTTTTCCCAAACTGAGCACAGACTGATATCTTGGGAACTCCTTAAATTCATATATGTATTTTTTTTTCAGTACTGGGGCTTTGCATGTTCTAGCCACATGCTCTACTATTGAACTACATTCCCAGCCCTAAGTTCATAATTTTAAAATAAAAAAATACTGGGTTACCGTTTTGTATTTGTTTGTATTTGGTATTTTAGCAGCCCCCCCCCAAAAAAAATCAAAAAAATTTAAACACTGGGTTTCTAGTAGACTATTTATTTATAGGATCAACTCAACCAGATTCAGTGAGATCTGGTGTTATCTCCAGATAGTATCAAAATTGAGTTGAATTAGAGGATTCTGCAGAATTGCATAATACATGGGAAAAAACTCTCACACATCTCCTGTCCAAAATAGACTTTATATAAAAATACTTTGCTTTTGACTTTTTCTGTTTCTAGAGTTGGTGTCAGGAGTATTATGCTGACAGAACAGGAGAGGAAAAAATTTCAGTTTTTTTCTCAGTATCTTTATCAAAGTATTAAATGAGTTAAAGGGAATGAATTTTTTACTGCCTGGCATCAGGAGAATTAAACATGCTTTCAGCATTACTGATGACAATAACTTCAGAGTTGCAAAGAGAGAAAAGCAATAGTGGAAAGAAGACGTCACAGACTGCAGAGTCTCCTTGATAGAAGAGAGATTGATTTCCAGGGATATTTCAAAAAAGTAATATTTGAATTCAGAGTAAATTTTGGTCATTTTCAATTGCATGTTGATTTGTTTCTGCTGAGTCATTATTATTTTTGGTGAGTTTTGTCATATACTAAGAAAGCCAATTCTCTTGACTGTTGCTTTTCAATGAGTATGGCAAACTAATAAATGTAAAACATTAAAAGGCAGTATATAGTGGCGGGGGGGATGTAGCTCAGTGGTACAGTGATAGAGCACTTCCCTAGCAAGCCTGAGTTCAATCCCCAGCAGGGGCCGGGGGAGTCAGTGGATGTTAGGGTAGCTGGCACAAATATCCATTTCTGAGTTCAAGCAAAGGTTTATTGACAGAGAGTGTCTGCCAGGCTGCCCCTCTGCAAGACAAAGCAGGCAGAGTCACTTGAATAGAGGTTTTTTTGTTGTTGTTGTTTTTATTTGTTTTTTGTTTTTCCTTTTTAACAAGGAACAAGAGCAAGCTGGAAATGACCTTGGGTGGAGCAGGCTAGAATTGACCTTGGGTGTAGGTGGCTGGGAAACAACAAATTTTTCTACGTAGGGACCTTGGATGGGGGGGGGGCGCGATGGGAACAGAGTATCTTAAGTTTCTTTCTCTTGGCAGTTTATAAGTTTTGGTTCTGAGTCCCAGAACCAAAATGGAGTTACTAATGTCTAGGGACCTAACAGTAGACACGATACAAAACAGGAGTTTGGACGAAAAGAGGTCAATGTGGACAGAAATAACTGAAGACTATTTCAGATCTCTAAGATATGTTCCTTTCTCTGGTACTATCATTAGATTAAGCAGGACTTTATTCTTTTTTTAAAAAATTTTTTAGAGAGAGAGAGAGAGAATTTTAATATTTTTTTTTTTAGTTGCTTAGGATCGAACCTGGGCCGCACGCATGCCAGGTGAGCGCGCTACCGCTTGAGCCACATCCCCAGCCCAGGACTTTGTTCTTGGTTAGTGAGAAATAAAAGACAGAAGAGAAAAAAAAGAGGGGAGAGAAGAAGGGAGGAGAAGGGGATGAGGGCTGACCACTGTGGTTTGCTCCAGATGAATAGTGAATAGATTCTGTCTACTCTGTTCCTATATGTTGACCTGGATGGACTCTGTTATGGGAGAAAAGTAGTACAGGTATTTTTGACCTTAGTTTTTCTGAAAATTTTATCTGTAGCTTTTGAGACCTCTAAAGGGAAAAAATTGGTGATTTTTGTTGTTAGTTCTTTTGTGGAGATCTAATATAGACTTTTTTTTTTTTTTTGGAAAGATACTTCAATTGGGTCAGTCTATGACAGGATGAGATGGAATGGAGCTAAAACTGCTTTGCATAATAAGGTGAGGTAGAGTGGAGACTCATTTTACTTCCACTTCAATTTATTTGGTCTGCCATCACACTCTGAAGGAGATGAAAAATGCTGTCAAGTCTGAAACACTTGATTCATGTTGGTAAAACTGAGAGAAGAATTATACCACTCATTTTAACGACTTCCTCACACTAACCATGACTGGAACACACTGTTCAGATGGCTTAGGATCTTGGTTGGTGATGACTCTTTTAGAATCCTCATGGAAGAAATTGAAAAATTAATTGAGGGTCATAGAGCAACTATCATCAAAAAAGACTGATCCTTAGTTCTACTTTATTTTAGGCTATTTACATGATTTTGAAGATTAGAACTTAATTCCCATTAAAGAAGGATTTAGCCTATCTATGCATGTTAGGGGCAAAGGAGAAAGATGTTTAATAAGGAATTCCCTCTGTGGGCTTGGCCAATGGAGCAGGAATGTCTGATATTCAGTTGTAAGTTCTTTGCTATTTTTATACTATAGATAATCATCAATGGCTAACATTTGGTAAACATCTGTTATATCCACCCGCCTGGAATTATTAGTGCCTTGAGGAATGGAGAGAGGGGGATACTTTTGTTAAATAATACACATAAAATCCTGTACCAGTGGTTACACCAGAGTACAACCATTACAAGAGTTTTAGCTAATATTGTGTCTTCGAAAGAGAGGAAGTTGAAACAGAGAGGTGTTAGACCGAGGTGATGAAGGAACTGGGAGGAGTTTGCAACAAGAATGGCAGATGACCCTAAAGACAATTACATGTCATCTTCACTTCCTCTCATTCTCAATTCTTTCTACCCAAATCTGGTGAGCATGATTGGCTTGTTACTTGAGTATTCTATCAGAATATTAAAGGAAAGGGCAGCCCCACAAGGCTAATTCTTATGATGGTGTGGAACCTAGACAAGGAGTTCTCCAAACTTGTTCAGGGGACAGTAGAATAAGTAGAATATTTTTGACAGATTCCCAACTTAAGCAAAAGTTATGATCTTTGACTGTTTACCCTTCTGTGCACCTGATATCAGTTTCTAGCTCCAATTTTATACTGATTAGGCTATACAGTTCTGTGTTTTGTTCAGGACAGAGATCTGTAGACAGCAGAGGGCCACTGAACTGGTGTGAGTTCTCCTCTAGTAGGTGCTTTCACTTTGCAATAAAATGTCCTTTGTCAATGTGAATTAAACACAAAGCTCAGTTTATTTTTTGCTTTCACTCCCAAATAAGTAAACAAACAAAAAAAAACCACTTTATTTTCCTTGCTTTTAATATTTCCCATAGTCCAAAATACTTAGCATGTTGTTGACTGGTTGTTGTTGAAAAACTTGTCTTTCTAGAATGATGCTTCATTGGCGGGACTCCAAAATGGCTTCATAGCTTTTACTATATTGAGTCCAATCTGGGGCTGGAGGCAGGCTCTACTACTATGGCTCAGCCTAACCATCACTCAGATCAAGCTGATCTGCTAACCCAACATACCATTTTTGTTCCTGCCTCTTGCCACCCCTAGGTTCCCTTCCTCTTGCCACTGAGCCAAACGTCTACTTCACTTCAGGTCTCACCTAAAAGCTATCCTTCCTGTGAATATTTTAAATATTCTAGTCTATACCAGTTGTCTTCCTTCTGAGTTTATGTTGACATTTGTAATTAGGATTCATCTCGACTGAAAATTACTTTTTGAGCACTGACAATATGCCAGGAACATAATGTGAATTTATTATTTATGTACCCCTTTACATTTCTTATTATGTATGTACTTCTTAAGGATTATATCATTTTTCATTTGTTTTCTCACAGTATTGGGCACACAATAGGAATTCGATAAATATATCATAAATTATATACATGACAAATTGGATGAGAATAATTAATGGGCCCCTTGCTAACTTATTGGCTGATAACTACTAACCATCTGAACTAGGTGATGGGCCTTATTAATACACATTTACTCTTCCTTATGCCAATCCTCATTAAACATTGCACAGTGAGACACTTTGTTTAAAAACTTTTATTAACAGTTCATTTTCAAAGCTCAAAAAAAGGCATTACAGATTGTAATAAGCAGAACTAAAATAAAACCTCACCTCTACAGAGATGGCCAGTGTGTAGACTTTATTACATAGGCACGTTTTTTAAAGTAAACTGGTTTTACATAAAATTAACCACAACAATGCAAGAAGTCACACTGATTGAGGATGGATGAAGAAGGAAAATATAAGGTTGAAGGGGCTGAATTATTCACTGGATCCTGGGTTCATCCACCCTGGCACATTGAAATTCACTATGGACATTACAAAAAAGAAAGGCAAAGAGCAGCACTCCTCTGTTACCTCTGGCTAAAACATTAATTCTGACTTATCTCTTGAAGGTGGCAAAGTTTTCAGATTGTGTTGGCAAGTGGACATGAAGATTAAATGCACGCTGGCTGAGGGTCAGAGGAGTTCACATTATTCCCTTCTCTCACCCCATTCTTTAAAATCCTTAAGCCCAACAGGCTCCTACTGAGAGATGAATGCAAATCTGCTTTCCTGGAACCAGTGGAATACCTCTAAGTTGGCCATCCTACAGCACATGGAGGTAAGTAACGGTGTTTAAGGCTTAGGTCCCCATGTTACTGGACAGTGTCCACAACTAGAACTGAGGCAGAACAAAGGAGTGAACAGGAAGAGGATGCTGGAATTCTTTGCTCAGTGCAGTTGGAATTCATCCATTACATCTGACATTAAGTACAACCAGAAAAGAAACTAAATCATAGTCAAGCCACAAATACCACACGAGAAAAGCTATATTTTGTAGCTTGTACATGTTTTTAAAAAATTTAAAGTACATTTTTATGTTACTGAGAGAAAGGAGGTGTGTGTCAGGGGACTATCCCTTTCTCTCTGGTTTTACTGTAACTTACAAATAGTCCCAGACTGTTGACTGAGTACTTTCCTCCCTCAAGTCCTGCAGTTTTTGTATAAAGGTCATGTAGGTTATAAGTCAAGGATTATCCCGACATCCTCAGTACCTTGGAGGATTAGAGCTCCATCTGCTTGAAGTCATACCGGGATCCTAATGTCCATTTTGGAGAACTGTCTGCTTCTCTTCACACTCACACCACTGCTTGGAGGGGTAGTACCCCATGGAGCTTCCAGAGCAGCATTCCCAGTAGTCTTCACCACCCTTTTTGGTGTTTTAAAGGCAACTAAAAAATAGATAATTGCAGGGTTTCCTGTGTTTCCATCTTCCCGGCTGATGGTGACGGGTAAAGACATGAAAATAAAGAAAGATGAAGCAGTTGGTTTTCTCAGTCCTCAAAATTCAAATTCTTGGTTTGTAAGAATATATGAAGTATTATTGGCATGGAACTTTCACACAAAAATTGGCACTAAAGGATATTTTGTAAGGTAACTCATAAAACTAGAGCTGGAAAGAATCTGAACAATTAGTCCAGTCCTCTCCTTTATTAGAAACTGAAGTCCAACTGACAAAATAACAAGTCAATTAACATAGTGATTGTCTCCATGACAATGTTCTAAAGATTCATACAAATGCCAATTTTTCCCTTAATAAAGCCATCATGGCACACACCTACTAACAACTTTATATAAATAATCCTCAGTGTCCTTGTGTTTGGCTGCTAACACAGCACCCTGACCAGAGTAGACACTGGACAAATACCTCTTGATATGAATGATTCTGTTATTTATCCCTACCTTGCAATCTTTTTTCCTACAGCTTACTTTTAGCTTTAAGAGAAGGCCTCTAGTTAAGTATTTTGAGGGTTATTGTCCAAAGCTATATTCTCCATCTCTTTTTATATTTTTTCATATTGAGATACTATTTTCTTTAGCCTGTTCTTTTATAACTTTTTATTATAACCAGTTGTTACTTGCCTTTGTCTAGGTACTGCCAAACATATTATTATGAAAGGTTTCTGCCTTTATAGGCTGGAATTTTAAGTGGAGTGATACATTTTTCTTTTTCAATTCTCAAAACATAGGACTAGATTTTCCCAAGCAGATTTGCTAAGGCACTCTAAAAGAAATGTAAAAATTACACATTTTTGCTGCAGTTAACACATGGGAAAATATTACTAATAGATACATTTGTTCTCTACATTTATGGTTGCCTTACATCTCCTTCACTTTTAATTCTTAAAGTATATAAATATGAATCATAATACTCAAAGTCAGTCTCATTTACAAAAAACATAATTAAGAATTGGTGATTTGTAGGGCATTTAGGCATTGCTAATGTTTAGAAAACATCTTTAGAAACTTGGTGAGAATGTCTTGATTTTACATACAGAATTGTCATGGTTTGGAGGGGATTTGGTAGTGTAGTGTTGAGACACTTTGTTTACCAGATAATTTTTAAAATTTTTATTTTTGTTGGTTTTGTTAAAAATCCCTGTTAGATTGCATTCTTCACATAATCTAAACTCTGAATATGCTGAAAATAACTTATAATTCTTGAGTTAAAAATTACCAATTCCAACAGGGAGAATGTATCTATGTAGGCTGGGTGGTAGTGCTTCCTACTCACACCAGTTTAGTAATTCCCAAGGCTGTAAGAAAAAAAAAATAGCATATTTTCTACTTTTCCATCAATCAAATTATTACTTTTATCAAGATTTCATCTGGCAAGTTTCAGCCTTTTCAGACCTTTATCACTGTGGTGACAGTAACCCCAGTTGTGGTTAATGTTGGGGAGAACAAAGACCTGGCACACTGAGACTGGCTGTGCACTCCCATCAAATGCTTTCTTCTGCTTTGGCCATTCTAATGGGCAAGGTCTGGGCCCATAGAGCTGAGGTGCGGCACCAAAACTGAATCAAGCTGGCTATAGGCAGCACATCTTGCCTTTGCACTTTGGGGCATACAAATGTTTCTCAGTATGAATATGGTACATTTAAGTTCAAATTCGGTAGCACATGAAATGTTTAAGTGCCAACAGTTCTTATTAGTTGACTTTCAAGGCAAGAATAAAAGAAAAATAATAATTATTTTTTTGGACTGGGGATTGAACTCAGGCACTCACGGCACTCACTGAGCCACATCTCCAGCCCTATTTTATATTTTATCAGAGACAGGGTCTTACTGAGTTGCTTAACACCTCACTTTTTTTACTGAGGCTAGCTTTGAACTCATGATCCTCCTGCCTCAGCCTCCCAAGCCGCTGAGATTACAGGCATGCACCACTGCGCCTGGCAAGAAAAATTATTTAAATCCTCCAGAAAATAAAAGCTGCTTGTTTGCTTTAATATGAGTATTTGATGGTAGCCTTAGAGTTTCAGGGGAAGTTTTCTATTGACAAACATTTATTAAATATCAAATAACTTCCTTTTATTTCATGAATATGTTTGCCCTATCAATAAAGATTTAAGGTGGCTGAACCTTATTAAATTCCAAGCTTTGTGCTAGTTATTGGAAACAAAAAGAATAAGATGTGCTCCTTGTCTTCAATATCACATTTCTCAGGAACTTGAGTTTCTAGGGAAATAAACTTTCACTCCTAACCACAGGATTTGAATAAAAATTAGTCTCATTTCAAACAAAAAATATTTTAAATTAAAAAATGTTCTCAAGGATTAGGAGCCCTAATAATAATTCAGGAAGGTAGAGAATAAAAGAAGAACCAAACAGAAAGTAAAAAAGCACAATACAACTGTCCAGGTGATATTTAATATGAACAAAGTGCAAACTTTCGATAAGGAATAACTACTATGTCTATAAGAGCAACCAAAGGGGGTTGAATGGTCTCCCCACTTTGACATATCATAATGAATACATTTTGTGCCCTCTTTTACTGTGTAGTTGAAAAGCAAGCCCTAGAAAGCAAGTACAGCTATTGATGTCATGTGACATCTAATTTATGTTCTATTGTAACACTATGTATTGGTAAAATAAATTCACTTTTAATATTTTCACATTTTTGATAATAGACCAGGATTTTTTTTTTTTTGGTAACTCCCTACACACACAAAACAAACAAACAAACAAACAAAAAACCAACCAGGTCCACAGTGACAAACAATTTGCACATCAAAAAGATAATCTGCCCAGCTGTGTTTATGGAAGTTATTAGTAAAACACTAAAAATATATTGTATTGAATCTCCCAACCCCTGAAATGTTACCCATAATCAGTTCCCTCTGATTTTAATCAGAGGCAAAACAAATTTGATGAAATCAAGGTAGTAGGTTTTTAAAAATTAGTAATAATTGGCTGGCTTGAATGTAGAAAGCATGGAAGGGATTTCCCAACTTTTGGTTAGAAATCACAGTCCAGGTGAAAGCAAGAAGGCATGAGAATTAGCCAAGGGGATAGGGCTGAGATCCATCAAGCAATCTGCATGCTCTGCTAGCAGGGAGGCAGGGATCTGGACACAGTGCTCAGCTTGGTAAGGAAGGGGTGAGGATGCACTTATTCATCTCGTCAACTCTCCAACCCAAGCAGACTCCTTAGGAATCTTAAGTTCCTTTAGTACAACCAGGGAAAGGATATGCTTTGAAATCCCTTGACAAAGCCTTTTGGGGGCTCTGCTATATTCTAAAGAACATGTAAATATGTAAGAAGGAAAAGATCACTGGAATTAGAGACTTATTCCTATTGAGACTATTTAGAAGGGATCTTGGTAATCATCGAACCCAAATCTAAATGTGAGAGTCCCTTTTATAGCACCCAGGATAGGTGGTTATTGTAACCTTTGGGCATAGGCAGCAACAGGAAATTTTACACTTGAGTTTATTCCTCTTTAGAACAACTTTTCTTAGAGAATTCTTTCTTATATTAAAGCAGACATCTTTTATCTGTAAAGTTCCTCTTCATTCTTATTTTTGCCCTCTGAAGCTACACAAAACAAATCTATTTCCTCTTTTTATAGATCAACAGAAAATTTGAGGCAGCTATTATAATATTCCCTCCTTCTCTGTACTTCCTTCCCAGCTATATCTTCTGTTCCTCAGGGTAGCTAGTCCCCTATTTCTTATATAATCAGACTCTGCACAACTCTGATCACCTGCTTGTGGAAAATCAAGTTATTAATGTCTCTCTTAGAATACAGTATCTATAATTGAACCCAACCCTCCATCCAGGTGTGTACTAACAATACATCTTGTAGAACTTTCTAAACTTCATTTGACATAGGTTGAATGCATTAGTTTTGTGAATAGCTACAGTATTCTCCCAATTCAAAACTGAACTATCATTTCCCTAAGAAAATATTTTTACATGAATGGCTACAGAAATGTCTTCCTAATGACCTTGTTTATGAACACACACACAAACACACACATTCACATGGTATTCTACTCTATACTTAAAGGGTTGCATTTTAAAAACTCAGAAAGAGGGGTTCTCATTAATGCCTATCCAACTCATTCTTTTATAGATTCACTGCTGTGCTTAGATACTTCAAAATATTGTAACAATTTTTATAACCTATTATCAGTACATAGTTAGAATTCAATGAATATTCATTGAATAAATTAGTCCTGAAATTGGTCATTCCAAAACTGGAGATATTATTTATTTCTCTATTATGTACAAAGCTGATAAAAGTGTACTTTCTGTCCCCTCACTCCATTCTTCATGAGAGAAAACACCAAGGTACAAATAAGAATCAGAGGTAAGCAGGAAAAGAAGGCAAAGTGTCCTGACTCTTAGAATCAGGATTTAATGTTCACAACATTGGATAAATATGGCTTTTCTCCACCCTTACCCTACAGTTTTCTGCATTTTTGATCTATTATAATACTGTGATTATCGAACTCTGAATTTTGTGGGAAAGCTGATTCAATCTTTAAAATTATCTTTTCAGCTTAAATCTCCTATTAAGTGAGCTGAAGAGCCATGTAACAGTATTTTGGCTACGAGGTATAAAAAGAACTCCCAAATGCCCCTGACAACTGCCTGAGGTATAGAGTGTGTGCACGCGTGCGTGTGTGTGTGTGTGTGTGTGTGTGTGTGTGTATGTTGCTTCAGGAATCAGAAGTGGCTTGTATTTTTCAGTGTGAATTTGGGAATTTAATGATATTGAAAGTGTCTCCTGATATGTATATAATCTTAAATTTAATGTCCCTTCTAGTCAGAATGAGGAGAAAGGAAATAAGTTCAATTTTGCTTTCCCTTCAACAGAATGTAAATCTAGTCCAATCCATTTGCAGAATGTAGGTCCAATCACAGAATAAAAATATATCCTAATAGGCCTTTTCCTATTGTCTATTGTAATTTAGGACAGCAAATCCT